GGAAACATATAGTTGAACATTTGTCAGACACTGGCACAGATAAATGATCATATGAAGGGTCAGTAACAATTTATGAGCACCAATGGTACCAGAGGACTAAGTTTCAAGAAGATGTGATGCTGAGACCCTATGTTCTAGGCATGAACAATGACAATAATTCTAAATTCTTACTGACAGTAGTATAATAGTATTAATCACTTTATTCTAAACATAATGTGTGTCGGTGGCACAGAGGCTACAACGCAGATTGTTCGGGGTTCAATCCTCGGCCACAGACGCACTCCTTCACCTCGCCAAGCCATTAATAAGCCTCTGGCTTGAAGCCTTATGTTACACTGGGAACGTAAACGAATAAAATAATAATTAATCCAAACGGAATGGAATTTTCACAGTATTTTATACATATTTCAATAATTAACTCTTTTTATAGATATGTGCATACATATCATTTTAAAAAATGACAATAAAACCATGAAAAACTGAAGGATGGTGGAAACATAATGATTTGTAAATAGATAATATTGTAGATAATACAAGTAATAATAATTTTGGCCTGCACACTTTTTTAGTTCAGTTATTGATCTCTAAAGTTCATAAGTCCTTTTCTGACATTTAACTCTCTATTCACGCAAAACCCATGCTAAACACGGTGTGGTTCGATTGTTTTAATTAACAGCTCTACGAGCGCAAATTCTTATGAAATTTCTTCTGGTTTTACCCGAAGAAATATGAGGAAAAAGTTGCGAAGAAGTGGAGAGGATGTGCTTGGTGGTATCAAACAAGATAACTTTAACCAAATACTTGCAAAAATTGAAATGTCCACTGACAATAATGTCAGTTAGCTGAATCAAAGGCATACCACTAATCCTACTTTCAGTCTTCAGTGTTCTACGCAATATGACATAGTCTTTTTTGAGAAGTCCAGGGAAGAATAATGGCGAGCAATAGAGAAGAATGGGCAGAATACATAAATTGATAAACTGTAAGATAAGAGGTTGAGTTATGCCATCAGAAAGTCACAACTCCCCCATGTGATAAGTCAAATGAAACATTTTCTTAGAAATCAACAGGATATGGGACAACCAACAGAGAATCGAAGAGAAACTGATGCCGAGATAAGAATTATGTGATTTAATTCTCATATTCGATTTACTCCTTATCACAGTGTTGTCCATTTCACAGGAACAATGGGACTGAATTAGTTCACCCATGCCTTGTTCGCATCTGAAATTTAAATCAACAATGTGACATTTAGATGGATTCGGTTTAAAACCATTTAGGCGAGACCATTCATTCGTTAACCTACTGGGACAGAAATGGTAAGATCATCAACACATTTAATGACGTAAGCTTTGAAAAAATACGGAAAGTCATTCAAAAAGAAAGAAAAACGGAATACAAAGAGTACAGTCCATCTTGAGGCACACCAGCTCCCCTTAGCAAACAAATGAAGCGCCTTGCGTCCAAAACAATATGTTGTTTTCGATCCAAAAAGTAAGAAGACAGTCACTTTGTGACCAAGGAATTAGTTCTTACCAAAATCAGCTTTCTGTGTAAGAGTCCCACAGGAATAGAATCAAAAGCACTAGCGTATTCTCAAAAGGAGGCTCGAAAAAACTTTGCACCTTTATCAAGACTCTAAACAATATTGTTGGTGGAGTACAACGATAGCATCTAATGTGCTTCCACTGCATTTATGAAGAAACTGCTTTGGGGCCATTCAAAGGTTTCAGAGAAAGCTTAAGAACATACAAGAGAAGTTTCTCCATAGTTTTCACAAATGCAGAAGTGATGGAAATCGTCCTAAGCTTTAGATATAATCCAGAAGATGATCTTGGTGATGCACTACCTTTGGTTTTTTCAGACAACAGGTACTGTATCCCTGTGAAATGATGTATTAAAGATTTGTGTAAGAAGATGAGACAAAATATCAGCACACTGTGGTAGTAAGTAATTCCATATTAGTTTGTTTATTAAATGTATCACACAGTCTGTGAAACAGTAATGTTATTTACTGGATGACAAGGTTTCGAACACAATCAATTGTTGTTCAAAATCATATCATCAATTATAATCACACGATTTCGAAACTTGAGTTTTGTAGTTTTCTTTGTTCCCTCCTATTTGTCTTCGATGAGGTAGTAGAACTTTCCACATGTCTGACTGGACAGGTTTTGAATTATTCCTATTACACGTATTTTCATTCAGTTGATTCGATAAACAAAGCCTCTTTTATCTATTTCTCCCTCCGACCAGCTGTTACATTCGATTTTAAAACTGTTATCTTATCCCATCCATCCTATTGTATGGTTGTGTGTCATTGCATGTAGTGAGTGGTATCTACATCTGAACTATTCTCTAGATTTCTTATCTTATTTGGGTCAACTAATCTAGATTTTGCTAGGTTTTATTTTATTTTTATTTTGATTACAGCTTGATTCCACACTGTATTTTCGGTACAAGTATGGAATTTTCAGTATGGATATCGGTAGCCCAAATTTTGCAGGCCGACCATAGATATCAGATGTGCGTCGGTGCGGGCTCAAACCTCGGACCATGTGCTTGGTCGGTGAGAGTCCTAACCACTGTGCCACCGACGCACTACTTGGCTAGTCTGACCGCACCTGTTCTAATACATTGACCTATGTATTTGACCTGAAAATCATTGCAGACAGGGTATAAGATAAACTGAATTATTCTGAAGTGTCGTCAAGATTTGACAGAATAGTTCTAAAATATTTGGGCGTCAAGTGAGAAGTAGATATTTGTAAAAAATTATATTTGTAAAATTGTTTTGTTTTAAAGGCTCCACAGGAACTCAAGTTTCGAAATTGTGTGATTATAATTGATGATAAGGTTATGAACTACAAATTTTGTTCGAAACCTTATCATCCAGTATGTAATAATATTGTTTCACTGTGTGATACATTTAATAAACGAACTAATATGGAATCAGCACACTTCTGAACCAAAATATTTGGTACACTATCTGATGCAAGGCTGTGTGATGGATTCAAAGATTTGAGGCATGTTAATACATCCTTTTCATTCAAACCAAGGAAATGATTATTTACTTGACTAGAAACATCAACTTCAGGCATATTAGCCTGTTGCATTAGAATAGATCAATTTAAGGCATTTACAACAGAATAAGCATCAAATGAACTTTGTTTTCTGCTATTATATTGATTAAAAAGTTTCCAGATGGTAGAAGCATTTTTACATGATGAATAAATTTTCATGATATATCTCAATTAGTCTTTGTATTTCAGACTTTATCAGAGAGTTTATTCTTCAAACACCTGCATAATCATGTGATTTATGCGAATTCTCTTTCCCTCTTCTAATCCTTTTTTTGGTAAGGGAAAAGGGATCCTATCGCATCTCATAAATAATGAGTATTTTAATAGGACTGAGAATGTCCAAACAGAACTTAAGATTGGAGGTGATATTAGAGACGGTAGCGTCTGACACTTCAGCAAAGAATAGGTCCCATTCAGTATCATGCAGACTACATTTTAGTGCTTGAGTATTGTCATGTGATGAATAGGATAGTTCCTGATTTTTCTTTGTTAGGTATACAAAGACCCTTCTGTGTAACTTTTTTATACACTTTCGGTAAAATACGAATAATACAGTGGTCAGAATTCAGCAATGGAGCTCACGTTGAAGCCTCGTATACGTCACAATCATGTATGCAAATCAAGTCTAGGGTTTTGTCTAGTTGACGAGTATTGAATTTGACAAGGTTCTCATGATCAAGTGATATGAGAAAGCTGTAATCGCAAGAATTAAAATTCCCACAAATTATGGACAGGGAATTTTCGAAAGTGGCAGCAGCAGATTCACTAAATTGGTCTGTCAAGATAGATATATCAAGGGAACTGCAGTCTGGAGTCATATAAACGTTTGTTATGTATATATTGGAATATTTACTTAAATGCTTTGCACGACCCCATTTCAGTGATAGAGTCTATAGCGTCAGTTGACAAGTGAAAACATACATGTTCAAGTATTGATCTGTAGGGATTTGATTGACTGTTTGGAGGATTTCATCGTGAGCTGACATCGATTAGAGAGCCATTGGAAAATCGGCATGGAGTACTGAACAGCTGTTTTGCCCTAGTTTGGGGCTTTTTACCAGCACGCATTCACCACAGGGGGGTTCGAACCCAGTACCTTCTGGTTACAAGGCCAGCAAGCTCATAGGCCATTAAGCCACTGGGACCCAATCCAATGACCAGCCCATGAATTATAACTTCTGCCAATTCACGACACACAGCAACCGCTAGCCAATATCTTGTCCTCACACCTGACCTGTTGCATCCTACTGTTCACGGATTCCCACTAGAACCCAGGTAACTACCTACCTGTCGCTGGTGAGCATTTCACTGATATTCAAGTATTCAGAAAACATAAATAATTAGATTTACACCACTTCGTATTAATAAAAATGTCTACCCTTCTGCCATGCTTTTTCTTTAAAATATGTCTGTCCTGAATAGGAAAATTTATATCCATTTAGTCAGATTAGATTATCATCATACTGCTGGTGGAACCGAGTTTTTCGTATAGCTAAAACACCAGAATTTCGATACACATTTGAAGCTATTTAAGATAGTAAAATCTGTTAGGCAAAGATCTGCAGTTAGTATTACCAACTCTGAGGAGAGTCATATGATTAAGTGGTATGCGTTTCAATGCATGCTTTCAACTACAGTAACGTTTTTTCCGCAATTTTCGAAGATGACTCAAAGCGAAAGGTTGTAAACATTTTTTAAAAAAAGCGCGATTATAAATATTATGATATGAAGACATTTGTGATTGATTCAAACAAAAAAAATATTGGGGAAAACGATACAATATATATAAATTGATAGAAAATGAAAATTTTTAATAACCCATTATTCAAGCAGGCGTTTGGACTTCATAATTACCACCCTGGAAATTTAACAAGGATAATATGTTTATCATATTGAAGATAATAAATAATAACTCACGTAGATAAAATATCCGGTTGTTTATGCTTTTCTAATAATCCAGTATCTATAATTAACATACGATAATCAGGATATTCAATAATTAATGATTTATCATGAAATTCAATAGGATTACAATCTTTGTTCAATGTTTCAATAGCATTGTCCAATGGATTAACTTCCGAAATAGCTGGAGACGACATTACCACTTCCGCTCCGTTTCTATTTTGATTCTTATCAAATAAAGAAGATGTATGTAGATATGGATGTAGAGAAATATAATTCCGAATGTTTTCACAACGCCTTTAATTTATACACTTCCTTATAACACATTACACAGAATCATTTCAACAGTTGACGAGCAATGTAATCAGCCATCGAAAGACATGGAAAAATTGTACCTCAGAAAGATGCTGAATGTACCACAAATCAGAAGAAAAGGTGGGAAAACTTGATTTGTTCACTATCACTACTTCACGCTAACAACTACTTAATAGTACTACTGAAAACAAAACAAAACAGCAGCAAAAACTGTATCCTCCAATGATATGTCTCCCTCACTCGCTCACCACTGTTACTACTACTACTACTACAGCGTCTCAGGATTGGTCGAGAGTTAATCAATCATATTTTAGATTTTTGACGAGAAATAATTCAGACATATTAAAGGCCAGGTAACAGACAACACAGACCATGTGTTTTTTTCTGTTTTGGTTGTTTTTGTTTGCTATTTTTTTTTATGTTTTCTATTATTTTCATATTATTTTCAATAGTCTGGTCGCTATAGCACGACTGAAATTTGTAAAATAAAGCTGAAGTCATTCGTCTCTCTCTCTCTGTGTCTCTCACTATTTGGATAATAATTTCTTATGTACATAAATAGAACTAACGATCAATACCTTCTTTATGTCTCTACTATTGTTAGCCATTTTAGTTTGATTTGAGAAAATTTATTTAGATGGGAGAATTTTTAATGGAGTCTGGGAACACACACAAAAAAAATCAATTTTCAATTGTTTGAGTACAGAGAGGGAGAGAGAGAGATACCTGGGATTAGCGTATACAAGTATAGACGATAAATGATTCTTAAGTAGATTTCTAATCATGATTCCCAAACTAGGCTGATGAAACAGCTGTCCAGGACTCCCTGGCTTCCTGATTCTTCAATAGTTCTCTAAATGATATCCATCCGTGGTCAAACTCGTAAACTGTTATGTACTCGTCGCTAAGTTATTGTTATGGACTGGTCGAGAAATTAATAGTCCTGACGCAAGAAGGCGGAAATCAGAAGACCACTAGGTTTGCGATGATACTTCTATTTTCCAAACACAAGGAGACGAAAATAAATGGTCTCACACCAAAGTGGTAAGTAAGTAAAGTAGTTCACACAAATTGTGTATGCGAAATATTCATGGATAATCCCCATCCAGGCATTAATGAAAACAAAACACGTAGATCAGCGAAGAGTCTCTTTTCGGCGAATTATGCGAAATATATATGAATGTTCAGACAAGGGTGTGAACAAATCATTAGACAGTCTTAACATGAATGGCTAATTATAATGAAGTATCGATCCATATATACATATAGCAGACATGTCAACAACCAAACATATAATATGGATATATGTCTCCAAGCTACGGACTGTCAACAAACACTCATATTATATATAATATAATATAAGGAGAATACACATTATTAAAGGAGACAAGTTCACACAAGTGAAATGGACACAGACTACGCGAGCAAACAGAAAGAGAGACCAACATACACACACACACATAAATATATATATGTGGATACATATCATAAACATAGATTTAATCTTTACAAACCAACTCTTGGAAATTAATCTGATGCTCTCTAGTGAGTGACTTGCTACAGGATGGAGTTTCCTGGAGTTCAAGTGAGAAGTCGTGACCAGTGAGGTCCATCCAGTCAAGTGTGAGGATGGAGTTCCCACAGATGACATTGGTTAGTTCCAGTCGTGCTAATTCACTAGTTGGTAGAAGTTAGAATTCATGAGATGGTCATCGACGAGTCAGGTCCCAGTGGCTGAATAGTTTACAAGCCAGCTTCCCTTGTAACCGGAAGGTCCTAGGTTCGAACCCTAGTGGTGGGTGCGTACTGCGAAACTAGGATGAAACAGCTGTCCAGTACTCCAGCGCTGTTTTTCAATGGTTCTCGAATTGATATCAATCCGTGATCAACTCGTAAAAAACAAAACTAATCCTTACAAATCAACTACAGAAAATAGTTACTTTTGATAAAGTCTCACAATGTTATACAGTAATATTTACTGATGACCACGTTTCGAGAACAATTTATTGCTGCTTATAATCATATAAAGTTAATCACACAACAATGAGTGATGATTCATTCCTATTGCATGTGTTCGAAGTAGACTCGGTCAACAAGGATTCAGTAATTAAAATCCCTCCCTCTTCACCTAACTATATTACCTCTTAGAATTTTATCCCTCTCCCATCCTATTATATGGTAGTGTGTTACTGTGTGCAGTGCAATTGGTGAGCTTTTTTCTAAATTACTTATCTTCTCGGGGTCAACCACTCTACACTTAGCTAAATTCTTATGTTCCGACAATCTGACTACCCCCGACCTACTAGTTTGACCTATGTAGTTGAACTCATTGACAGTCATTGCAAGGTATTTTTTAAATTATATTATTTTGTCTAATTAGGTCCACCGGGTCCTTAAGTCTACAGAGCTTCTCCTACCTAAGTGAGTTTGTAGGTCTGAATGCTACTATAATTCCTATTACGTAGGGTCTCAGATATCCCCTCCTTATATGCTAGAACTGTAAGATGCCTTATATTTTTTCTTATTTATGTTATGATTATTAGTTTTACATTTATTTTTATTTTGCTTTTGGTCTTTTCTAATCTTCCTAATGAATTTTATAGGATAGTTAGTTATTTAATACCAACCAGCTATTCTTCTATCTGTTAAATTTCATCATTTAGGTATTTTCTTGTACTGGTTAGCGCCAACGTTTCATCCTTTATTGACGAAACAAAATGGATGATCAACCAACACATGCAATAGGAATGACCATCACTCATGCCGAAAATATGGAAAATACTACTACCAATCAAGTCAAGCGATGAAAAGGAAACAAAGTTACAAAGTTGTGTGTGAATAGTACCTTGATCTGATTATGAGTGGCAATAAAGTGTGCTCAAAACTTGGTCATCAATAAATATTACAGTATAACACTGTGAACCTTATCAAAATAAACTTACTCATAATTGAATTATACTCTACTCTACTCTACTCTGATATAGTTATCCTGACACCTGATAAAGGATTGGTATAGTTGTAATGGGCATATATGACAATGATGATGATGGTGATGATATCAGAAAATTGGCGGGATAAGTAACATCCTATTTAGTAGTAAAATTTCATCGCTTGGATGTTATCGACAAACATGAGTTATGCTATCCAGATTTCTCTCGACAATACTAAGACCGACAAGAGACAACTCAAAAGCTAGAATAGTAGATTCATTTGAATTAGTGAGGCGAATAAAAACCACTAAAATAGAGGAAGAAGAAATACTAGTTAGCTTTGATGTAAACAGTCTTTATACGAAAATACCCATTCAAATGGCCATGATTGCACTGAAAGAGAAACTAAATGAAGATAATGGCCTGAAAGACAGAACACAGTTATCCGTAGAAGAAATAATAAAAGGGATAGAATTCTGTCTGACAACAACATATTTCACATTCGAAGGAAAAATATACCAACAAAATGAGGCAGTAGCTATGGGATCACCTATTTCACCAATTATAGCTGATATATTCATGGATTATTGGGAGGAGAATGCCCTTAAACCATTCAGATCATCACTAAAATGTAGCTGGAGATATGTAGACGACACGCTAGTAATAGTGAAAAAAACGATACTGAGAAACTTTTCTCACACATAAACAGACACGTCGACTCAATAAAATTCACTATGGAATTAGAGAATGAAATTGGAGAACTGCCCATGTTAAACTGCAAACTACAAAGAATGACAGATGGTAGCATAAAAACGACGATATATAGAAAAGCCACACATTCTAGAAGATTTCTTGATTATCACTCAGCTCATCCACTCTCGGTAAAACGAGGATTAATACAAGGTCTTGCAGATAGAATACGTAGACTTACAACAGCACCAGAGGACCAGCGTGAAGAAATAAAAGTCCTATTCAAAATGCTACTTGAAAACAACTACCCTAAAGAATTTATAAAAGATAATATAAAAAAGAGAAAAAAGAGGGTAAAACCGGAGAATAACAAGATGGAAGAATGGAGAAAAACAGTCGCAATACCATATAAAAATGGTACATCAGAGGCAATACAAAGAAACCTCAAAAATATCGGCATTCAAACAACCTTTAAACCGACAAATCTAATCAAAAATAAAATAAATCAACTGAAAGATCTTATAAAAATGATGGATAAAAACAATTTGATTTATAAGATATCTTGTGCTGACTGTCCAACTAAATATGCGGGGCAAACGTCCAGATCACTCAAAATAAGCGTGAATGAACATAAACGCCTAACCAAAGGTCAACCAACAGGGACACAAGCTTACAAAAATCTTGAAAAAAATTCATCGATAGCTGCACATGTATGGGACAAAAACCACAATATCGATTGGAACAATGTGTGTATTCTAAAAACTAACATGAACAAATGGAAAGAAAGACTCATAACAGAATCGATGTTCATTAAAGTCACACTATCAACAACTTGGTATACAATTCTAAATACAAACACATGAAATATAATCCTGAACACACACACAAAACCCGAATGAGCAAAAAATTATAATAATGAACTACATATATATGTGTACAAATCATAAATGTGTGAATAAAACAATTCCAACAGTGGTGTGAACACAGGCAGTAATTTTGCTCGAAATGTTACCAATAACAAAACTTATCATTGTGTTTAAACTATTGAAATATAATTGTACTTTAGTATACGATTGGTGGATGGTGGCTAGCAGTGGAATCCAGGATGCGCATTTCGTCCTATTTGGGACTCGTCAGCTGGATGTACCTACATTTCTCAGTGATTGATGATGTTCCCACTGAGGCTCGAACCCAGTGCCCATAGTTTCAAACGCCAAAGCGTTATCCACTAGACCACTTGGGCCACGAGAGCCACCTCCTGT